TTCTTCCAAAAATACTAAAAGAGACAAATTCAAATGTAAGAAAAGGTCCCACATGTTGACTAAATGCTAATAGATTTTTAGAAGAAAGATGTTTGATTTTTACAAGGAGAAGAAAGCTTTTACGTAACACACACCTAATCTACTTCTTCATTCTCAAACAAAATAAATTTACTGCAGTATTCCAGCCGTGACACATGTCCATAAATCACCATTTACTTTGCTTCTTTTTCACTTCTAACAACATTAAAATACAAGCATGAAACAATACTTCATTATCTATCTCAAAACAGCCATTAACATTAGCATAAACAATAAAAGGATTCAATCAAAAGTGGATGAAATAAAACTAAATGAAAGAAGGAGAATAGCTCTTTAAACAAACCGTAACCTTGCACCACAAATCTAAAGAAGAGAAAACACTTCAGGATTAAATTTCAAGTGGCGGATGTCAGTTCATTCCATCCAGCTCAACCATTCTCCATTTTTCCAGTGCCCTCACTACCCTACTGGAACTCCTCCTAAAACAAGTGGCGGCTCGTTTTTTTCAGTGCAGGCCGAGACCCTGGATTTCTCCCTGCTGGGCTTGCTGCTCACGTGCTGTGACCATGTGCGTGGAGTGAAGTGTTGCTGGACACTCCTTCTCTCACGTGGGCCTCTTCCTTGCTGCCACATGCTGGATGGAAGCTGCGTGGGTGAGCGTGAAGGCTTCTTCCTTTTGCCACTTCCTGGACGCGCAAATGTTGGATGTGGAGGTTGCTGGGCTTTGCTTCCAAGCTGGACCGTGAATGATTTCTTTCTTCCAGCACCACGTCTTCACTTCTTTGCTGGACCTTTCCGTGTGCCTCCAATGCTTGCTTCCATGGGCCCATTGTGCACCTCCCAAAAATAAATCCATACCTCCTTTCTCTTTTTAGCTTAAAATAGAATTGATTTGGCATTTTCTTTTGACCTCCAAATGTCCCAAATAATATCTAACAATTTCCCTACAATTAATAATGCAAATAATTAGTCTTAAATAATTCAAATTAATTCAAATAAGAATTTCTGATCAAATTAAGCACAATTAGGAAAAGTGGGAAAATACTAGACGTTTAAGCACAATTCCCTGATTAATTCTAGCACAATAAACTAAGTGAAGTTAAGAAAATATTGACTCATCACCCTTACTTGTTGAAAATTTGGGGCAGATAACCTTCTAAGGCGTTGTGTGACTAAGGAAGAGGTGGAAGGAATTTTAAGGCACTGTCATGACTCACCTTATGGAGGACATTTTAGTGGAGAGAAAACAGCTCCAGTCAGGATTTTATTCGCCTACTTCTTTTAAAGATGCTCACAATCATGCCAGAAACTGTGATAAGTGTCAAAGGACAGGTAATATCTCCAAACAGCATGAGATGCCATTGTAAAGCATATTAGAAGTAGAAGTTTTTGATTGGACCTTTTCCATTGGGGCATAGATTTTTTTGGACCTTTTCCACCCTCTTTCAATAATGAGTATATCCTGGTGGCTGTGGATTATGTGAGCAAATGGGTGGAGGCCCTGGCCTGTCCCAAGAATGATTCCAAAATTGTCATCAAATTTTTGAAAAGGAAAATTTTCTCTCGGTTTGGAACACCCAGGGTACTTATCAGTGATAAAGGATCTCATTTTCACAATTTTAAGTTGGCAAAGCTACTCAAGCATTATGGTGTGAGACACAAGGTAGCTACATCGTATCATCCACAGACAAATGGGCAAGCTGAGGTTTCCAACAGGGAGATAAAAAGAATTTTAGAAAAGATAGTGGCTTCATCAAGAAAAGATTGATCTCAAAAGTTGGATGATGCCCTTTGGGCAAACAAAACTGCAATGAAAACAACTATTGGATTATCTCCTTTTCAAATGGTTTATGGAAAGGCATGCCACCTTCTGGTGGAGATGGAACATCGAGCTCTGTGGACTTTAAAATTTTTGAATTATGATTCTTGTGACACTGCCGAAAAAAGGAGAAGGCAAATTATTGAGCTTGAAGAGATCTGGCTACAAGCCTATGATTCTTCAAAGAATTACAAAGAAAAGGTGAAATTTTATCATCACAAGAAGCTGGTAAAAAAAGTCTTAAATCCAGGACAACAGGTACTGATGTTCAATTCACGACTAAAACTTTTCCCTGGAAAGTTGAAGTCCAAGTGGTCTGGTCCATTTATGATCAAGAATGTTCTTCCACATGGAGCAGTTGAGTTAACAGATCCAGTATCTGAAGATCCACAAAGAAGTTGGGTTGTCAATGGACAACGTCTCAAGCATTATTTGGGTGGTGAGGTGGAACGCCTTTCCACAGTCATGGAGTTGGTTGATCTAGATTGAATCTATTGGGTCAAGCTAGTGACGTTAAAGAAGCGCTTACTAGGAGGCAACCCAGCTTTCTAAACTTTTCCTTGGTTTTATTTTATTGTTTTTTTATTTATTTTTTTATTTTTTTTATTGTTGAACTCTTTTAATATTCCCGTTTTTATTGTTTTTTTCTGTAGTGATGTATTTTGCTCTATCTTATTACAATGGTTTAGTTCTTCTGATGTTATGTTTTGATGAGAGTTAATTTTTGATGCTTATTGTTTGAATTGAGGTTGAGATGATGCATGATGTGAAAACACACAAGTGGTTGCTTCTAACATGTGAACCAAGTGCTTGAGGTAAAACTTGATTAAGATACTGAACAGGATGTTTTTCTGAATTCTAGAACTTAAGAGTTTACCTGTGTGAGTTTTGGGCTTTAGAGTTGTTGTGAATAATTGCTATTACTTTAGAAGCATAAATGATTTTGCCCAAATTTTCTGTGATTGAACAACTTGCTTGCAGGTTTCATATGATCAAGGCCATCTTTGGTTTTCCCTTATTCTTTTAGCCTTGATAAATTTTTCCACTGAAAAGAAAACCAATTGCTCTACCCTTTGAACCTTGAGCCTTAAGCATGTTTTGAAAATCCTATTTTATATTCTTTACCTTGAGTTGAGTTGAGAATATTTGTGAGGTATTGAAAAAGGTTCAAATTTGGGGTTACTGGTAAGCAACCCCACTGTTCTAAGCAGTGAGAAATTGAAAAGCAACAGAAAAAGAAAAAAAATCAAAAGGAAAGAAAATGAAAGGAAAAAGGAAAAATAAAAATAAAAGAAAATAGAGCTCACTGCAAGGGAAAACGGTTGGGAAAGATCTTCTTGAAAAGAAAACCTATGAGTAATTGATAAATTCATAACTGTCTCTCTTAACTCAAGGAACTTTGCTGACCAGAAAAAACCAATTTCCTTCTTAGCCCAGCCAAGCTACAAGCCATGAGAAGCCCTTGTGATTACAACTTGTTTGTGAGTTTGTTTGATTGTGGTTAAATGAAAAGCAAAATTAATTTGTGTGATAGTGTGACAGCAGAGTGAAAAAGGCACCAACACTATACACCTATAAGCGAGTGAGATACTTTTGAATGCTTGAGTGATACACTTTTGAGTACTTGAGTGAAACACTTCCCTTGGTGAGGAATAATTCTTTGAATTTCTAATTACATCTCTGCTTGGTTGAGTGATTGCTCTTAAGGATAGCATATGTTGAACTGTTTGAGTATCACTTTAATTTATTTGAGAGAAAGCATATGTGCATCTTGACTGATATTCATATGATGTAATTTTGATACTAAATACACCCTTTTTGACTTAAAAACTTGCTTGGACTCATGCTTTTTCATTAAGTTGTGTGAATAAGAGAGTTGAGGTTGAATTTGATGATTTTATGACTAATTCCCTTTGTTTTGATAGAAAATGAGTTAATACAAGAAGCGGAGATGAAGTGCTAAGGATGTAGAGCTCAGAAAGGCCTAGAAAAGCACCAGAAGAGGGAACTGCACAAAGCTTGGGTGACCTGCAAGAGGGTTAGGGGTGGAAAAATCGACGCCTGATAACAGTTGAAAAACTGTTATTTTCATGATTAAAATTGACACTAAAAGCAACCTTCACACTTAGAAATTAGCTTGAAATCATGTTTTTCTGTATATTTTTAGAAATAAGAGAGTTGGACAGGTTTATGCTTGATTTCAATGTTTTTGTGCAGGTTTTAAGGTGAATTTGGTAAAAGAAGTGAAGAAGGAGAGAGATGAAATCAGAAAAGACAACAAAAAGTGCAANCAACATTTCACTCTCATCCCTGGTGGCAGCTCTCCAATAATGAAGCACTTCTTCCAGCAAAATAAAGAAAAGAAATTAAACCATTCCAGCATTACATTACCGTGCACGGATACCTACATATTCCACTTCTTTTTATTCCATTCTAATCTACCGTGGCACCACTTCTACTCATGCTTTCTCCTCCAAAGTCAATCACGCTTTCTTCCTCAACCTTAACCCTCCATATGTGTTTTTCTTTCTCCAGCTCTTCCTTCGTGGCGGTTGGACGTGTGTCCTTATTTCCTCCAAGGGTTTGTTTTTAAACCCCATGTGCCAAATAAAAATATGATGGGCCCTCTTCTTTCCAGCTCACGTGAATATCCTTCGAGTGGGTTCCCTTCACCATTCCATTCTCCACCTTGTTTTGTGCACATGCTTCTAGCCACACAGAATTCTCTGCTGGACCGTGGACTTGGACGCGTGGCTGCTCCAATTGCTGGATGCATGAAGTGTCTTCGTGCACCTCCAAACTCCTGCTTGCTTCCCGTGTGCTCGCTGGACCAAGGAGGCTGCTGGACCGAGGTTAACTCTGCTGTGCTGAATGGGAGAACAAATCACCCTTCATTCAAGCTGTTGGACCGTCTATCTCTGTGTGCACCCCTCCAAAGATGCTGGCAGCAGGACCGTTTACGTGGACTTCCTCAAAGCGTGTTGGACCGCGGAGGCTTTCTTCCTGCTGAACACACCCCTTTTTCTCACCGTCACACCACTTTAATGCTAGCTGGAAAATGAATGAAGATGGTTGGCCTACTGCCCCTTGGAAGTGCTTTGGGCTGTGTAGTGCATTCCCAAAAAAATTAAATCCACACCTCCTCTCTCATCTTAGTTTAAAGTATATTTGATGTGGCATTTTCTTTTGACCTTCAAATGTCCCAAATAATATCCAACAATTTCCCTACAATTAATAATGCAAATAATTATTCTTAAATAATTCAAATTAATTCAAATAAGAATTTCTGATCAAATTAAGCACAATTAGGAAAAGTGGGAAAATACTAGACGTTTAAGCACAATTCCCTGATTAATTCTAGCACAATAAACTAAGTGAAGTTAAGAAAATATTGACTCATCACCCTTACTTGTTGAAAATTTGGGGCAGATAACCTTCTAAGGCGTTGTGTGACTAAGGAAGAGGTGGAAGGAATTTTAAGGCACTGTCATGACTCACCTTATGGAGGACATTTTAGTGGAGAGAAAACAGCTCCAGTCAGGATTTTATTCGCCTACTTCTTTTAAAGATGCTCACAATCATGCCAGAAACTGTGATAAGTGTCAAAGGACAGGTAATATCTCCAAACAGCATGAGATGCCATTGTAAAGCATATTAGAAGTAGAAGTTTTTGATTGGACCTTTTCCATTGGGGCATAGATTTT